CGCTAAAAATTGGATTTCTATATCTGCAGAAGTTAGAGTAAAGATAGCCAGTAGAGTGACTTTGTGCTTAACAACAAACAAAAATAAATATATAAATGATGATCTAATAATAGCAAAATTGTGGCTATTGAAACTTCGATTTATATTTAGTTATATACAAGATTTAGACATAAACGCCCCCCAGTGGCACAGCGGTATGTCCGCGGACTTACAACGCTAGAAACCGGGTTTCGATATCTGTGGTGGGCAGAGCACAGATAGCCCATTGTGTAGCCTTGTGCTTAACTTCAAACAAACCAACCAAACAAAGTAGACATCAGTATGTATAATCATGTTACTATATTATTTGTCAATTGTTAACAGAAAAATTATCCTTTGAGAATCTCATTGATACTACATGGCCAGAACGGTAGTTGTGATTGAAGGCAATTCAGAGTCGCTATAGCATTTATTTTTAAAAGCAGAATGCTCCAAATGGTTACTTTTTGTATAATGAGTTCAGGTGCACATGGAAACTACTCAGTAGTGCTTTTTTGATCTGCTTTGCCGTTTTTTGATGTGTATCTGTGGTACTGTTAATAAGTCATATGAATTGTTTAAGATCGCATATAATTCGAATAATATTTATATTAGCGTTTCTAGGCTTAGAGCTAAGGGAAGCCATTTTAAAGAGAGGAAAAAAGCAACTTTATCAACTGTTCTATTAATGACCTAGCTTGTTAAACGTGAGAAAAATCAATCTGATCTTAGTTAATTTACATCCTTAAATGTTTATGCTCGTTTGAATACATAACTACTTTAATACGTAAATTATCTTTGCATTTTAAAATAATGGAAAAAAAAACGACGTTTAGCTCCAAATATAAAGGTAGAGGAAATACATGCAAATACATTCATGATAAACAGCTCTCACAATTTCCATAATAGCGAACTTCATGAAATCTAAAGCTACGCCTATTTTAATCCGAAATCCCACTGTGAAGGCTATTGTCTAATGAGTTCAGTTTACTGTGCTATAATAAGAATGCGATAAATATTAAGATATATATATATATATACACGAACAATATTTATTCGTACTTTCTGATATATCACGCACGAGACAACAGCTTTCTGTTTTTTGAAGAAAGGGGTGGTAATAACAGCTGGACAGAGATTACGTTACATAGTATTTAACGTTACCTCAAGAACACCTAATGTGTCGAAATTTACATGTAAAAGTAGACTATTTGTTTGTTTGTAATTATGCACAAAGCTACACAATGGGCTATCTGTGCTCTGCACATCACGGGTATCGAAAACCGGTTTCTAGCGTTGCAAGTCCGCAGACATACCGCTGTGCTACTGAGGAGGCCCAAATCATGCTGATGTGTAAATTAATTTATAAAAACAATATTATTTTTTAAATATATATATATAAACAAGACTACATCAAAAATGAAAAAGATATATATATAGCAATTAGTGAAATTGGAGGAACAACAAATTTGCATCTACTTTGATTTTTCCACAAAATAATGCTTGAGGACTTATAACGCTAAAATTTGTTGTTCAATCCATAAGGTACGTATAACACATATAGCCTAGATTTACGTTTAACAACAAACAAAACATAAAATAATCAATTTCCCTTTAACGTTTAGCTTTAAAGTTTTATGTTACAAACTCGTCCCGCCTCCTTTCCACAACTAAGTAGTTGACTGAATCCTGCTTAACTAATTTTATGTAACACACTTGTCCCCTCCTTTACAACTAAGTAGTTGACTGAATCCTGCATAACTAGTTTTATGTAACAAACTTGTCCCCCTCCTTTTTACAGCTAACTAGTTTACTGAATCCTGATAACTAGTTTTATGTAACACACTTGCCCCCTCTTTTTAACAACTAACTAGTTAACTGAATACTGCTTAAATCTATGCTGCTGCGCATTCTCGTTTGTTAACCAAGCCATAGGTGCAAGCCTAAGAAGGTGACAGGATCCTCCCCTCTCCACATTTTCCAGCACTTGACGCAAGGGAGAGACTATCAGGCCGTTTTCCATAATGCTTCAAATGACAAGCCTCGTGGCGCCTTAACGTTGCCACGGTCACGATATCAGTACTTCCTACCATACCAGTCACTTTGTTCTGGAGACTAGGTCCTACATTACCAAACGTAATGATCAGAAGCACGTGACTTCGCGTTGTGTTTGCTTAAACAATTCTAATCAATATTGTTAATATCTGGTTAATATCTTCATTGCCCCTTATTCTTCACTGTAATCATTATTTTTGTGGTTCGTAGCTGTTAGCCATTTTCATTAGAATGGAATTTGTTTGTTTATAAAAACATAATTATCACTGAATAAAAAAAATAACGTTTCACAGTATCGTATACGTGACTTCTTAGATACGTTATATTTGTAAAACTTCTAAATATGTGATTTTTCCGAATGTCCAACTGCTGAATTAGAATCGTTACACTGATAATAATGCAGTAAACAACATTTTCTAAATAAAAGTTATAAGGAAACGAGAAGTTTTAGTATAACGACTTCGATTCAATAGATCCTTAAAAAATAGTTTTCTTAATAAAATAACACAGCAAAAGAGAGAGAGAGAGAAAAAAAGAAAAGAGAACCGAGTGTTCCGAACTATAGATCTACGAGCCTTAACGTTCACGCCCTCTTACTGACAAAAAAAAAATTCGCGCTCCACACTTTCGGATCATGTATGCGTTATAAGGGTGACAGTCATATCCCACTTTTCGGTCAGACAAGAGTAGCCCAAGACTTCATGCTGTTGACTAGTTTCCTTCCCTTTGATCCATCAGTTCGAAATTGAGAATGACTAACTCAAGTAGCTCTTGAATAGCTTTGAGTGAATAAATGAAAACAAACAAACAAATAAAGCGGGTGATAGGAAGTTTGGTTTGAATTTCGCGCAAAGCTACACGAGGGCTATCTTTGTTAGATGTCCCTAATTTAGCAGTGAAAGACTAGAGGGAAGGCAGCTAGTCATCACCACCCACCGCCAACTCTTGGGCTACTCTTTTACCAACGAATAGTGGGATTGACCGTCACATTATAACGCCCCCACGGCTGAAAGGGCGAGCATGTTTGGTGTGACTGGGAATCGAACCCGCGACCCACAGATTGCGAGTCGAGTGCCCTAACCACCTGGCCATGCCGGTCCAGAAAGCGAAAGGATTGAATTTGAAAAAAAAAAAATGTTGCTTTAAATTCTGTTTCAAATATTGATAGATGTAGAAACGAATGCTTTAATGGTTTTTGTTATGTTGTTAACACAGTTTTTGGTACCTCCCAACCAGTAGACAAAATTATGCAATTATACTAGTTATATAAATTTGCCTTTCACTATTCACTCCAGCAATAGGGTTATCACTGTTCACTTATTACCTGATTCACACGCTATGGACTGTCCAAGATTTGCCCCCCAGTGGTGCAGTGGTATGTCTGTGGACTTATACTACTAGAAACTGGGTTTGATACCCGTGGTGGGCAGAGTACAGATAGCCCTTTGTGTAGCTTTGTGCTAAATAACAAACAACAGCAACCATAAGATTTCCAGAAAACATGTCACTTCATAAATCTGAATGTCATGATCGAGGACAGGAAAAGCCATATGTATAGACAATATTGTTATTTTGAGAGTTAAAAGATCAAACAAACAAAAATGACTTAACATTTCAGTTAAATAACACCTCGTTACAACATTCATTTAATTAAACCTGGGTTAACGCTGGTTATTAGAACTACACATAAATATTGATGAAAAGACTTAAATAGCAATTTATTTAATTTGAAATGCATTAAACACTCATAATATCTATTGCTAAACTCGATCTAAGTAAAAAACTTTCTATGTATTTTGAAACCACGTTGCAAGTCATTATTATTAAAACGAGGAGATGGTTATTAATTCTGCGGGTAACTACCCAGAACTCTTACATATAGTTTGTTAGTTGTATTTCAGGAATACAAAACTATATGTTGAAGTGAAATCTGAAGTAAAAAAACGTTTCTGTGTGAACAAGTTAATTGAATCATATAATACTACACATGAGCAAGAGGTAAGCACATATAAACATATATTTCAAAAAATAATTGAATTCTCTAAATAATTCACATGTCTACATAGTACTTTTGTGTAGTCACAACACAACAAGGGCGACTCAATGAATAATGCCAAACATAAAATGTCAAGAAAAAATTAATTAATTGATTAATAGGACTTGACCATCATGGAATGCGTTTTTGAGAACTGTTAACCCTCGGATTCACAGTCCAAGCACTCTAAAATCTAGCCTACATCCGACCTAATAGTTTAAAATCTCACTATGATCATTTAATGAAAAAAATATATAAAACGTATGCATCAATACACTCGTAGAAGACATTTTGTTTGTAATTCATTCCAATCTTACAATAACGTTCTACTAGTTATTCTTAACAGAACAAATGCTAGAAACCTAATGTTCAATGGTATAATCTTAGGGCTAAATTAAGCCCTAGTATGACATCAACAACCATCACTGAATAGTGTTAGATACCGATATATGGCGGCATTCTCAAATGTGCACTTTTACTGTGATGCATTTATTACACAAGCATTTACAACGTATGTATGGGGTTAACTTGTAGTTTTATTTAAGGCACATTTAAGGCCTAGTAAGAAAAAGTTTTTACAGACCAAGATTAGAAGAAAGAAAAATTTACATCATTTTGAAAATGCAATAATAAATATATCCTAATTTACAAAGATTTATAAGGTTCTTTAACCTTGAACAACATACATATATAACTGTGCTGATAGGTACATAAGCTGCCTGCATATTTAAACTGTACACATTATGTGTATAAAACTAACAAAAAATAAAATATTAAAACAAAAGGTATACAAAAATATAAACTTGCAAAACCTTTACAACTTGCTTTCCAAAAAGGTAATTTTTTGATGATCAGGAATACAAAACTCCACAACACTCCAGCTTTAGGTATGACTCATAATATAGTTTTCACACTTAAGATCTTCCTCTCATCATTATCCTGTATTATTCACTGAATTCAGTAAATTCATCAGATCAATAAAAAAAAATAGTGCAATTGATCATGTACCACACCATATTAAACATTATATTAGAAAAATAACAGGCTATAACTAAAACACATTTTTATTATTTTTTTTTATTCACTACTTGTATCATTTGCATGTACATACAGCTTAAACGGTTCTCATGTCAAAAGGAATAAGGAACCTAAGAATAACTACACATATATTCCTGTGCATCATAATAACAGTGTCATGGATATTGGAAGTTTTTGCAATAAGCAAGTGCTTCAAACACTTATTAGTAGTTAAAAGACCAAACATTATATGCATCTCAAAAAGCAAGAGATACTTAACTACTAAAATAAGCAGCCCATCTGGATCTCTTATAAATGTAACTAATCACCCAGTTCTTCTTAGCCTTTCTTCTCGAATCATCTTGTGATGATACTCATTCATAAAATATTGTATAATTTATTAAAGACTCTCTTCAGCTGATACATATTAGAGAAAAAGCTACTGTATATGTAAGTCATTATTTTTAAGCACACCAAATGACAGGAGGAAAGGTGGGAATCAGTAGAGTTAAGTACTAATATGAGTTACATCTTAGTGCTAAAAATGTAGATTTTAAATACAGTACTGAAAATTTTAAAATCATGCAACTAAAATGTCCAATCTGATGAGTGAAAGAAGAGTCTGAAGAAAAGAGAAGACAGTAGTCATCTCGATTAGGGAGAGGAAGCACTGACCATCAGAGGGCATCAACCACGTGTATTATATGATCAATCTAGAGGTCTACTGACATGCAACAGGTGACATTTATAGGTGAATATGGGGTTACTATGCCTAATGAGCAGCCACACCTGTTGGGCACAAAGACGGTGTGTTGTAGTCAAGGTATATTCCAAAGACTGATGTATGAACTCCTCAGAAGAGCTACACCATTTAAATATGAATGGTGCACAGGAACAATTTTATAAGAATACAATACAGAGCAAAAGCTTAGGAATGTTAAAAGTATGATCATCAATGAAGTGTGTTAAAACAGATTCTACTCTTTACTTATGTACAGGTAAAGGTTGCTGATTGGTGGAGTTGTGAACTATGAGATCACAAGACAAAGCAGGAAGAAAGCCTGGTTGATAACCTTATGATGGATTGACTCACACCTATCTAAACAAATGGATCTGTATTGTACTTGAAGTTATAGTTAAATAAATATAAATGGATTATATATTTTAGAGAATGTAAAATTTTAATGTATTCTTTATTCTAACACTTCTTAGTCATGTGCAAGTTTTTCAACGGTTTTAATGGGGAATTTTAGTTTTTAAAACAAACTAATGTGGAATTTTTACAGGAAACTAATTTGTTCCCCACGCAACTTTAATTAAATATATTTTATACGGAAAAGCAACATGCACAGTACACTCTTGGATCTACTAGACTTTTGCCAAGTGATAACTGAAGTTTTTGGTAAAAGTATAAATAAAAATCTGCTTATGAAAAACATGTTTTTTTTTCTCATTATGGGGAAAAAGAATATGAACCTTCTTAATACTGAGTAATGAGTGCTAATAATTTGTTGCTGATATAATCAAAGGAAAACTTGAATAGGTAATATACCAAGAGAATTGAGGACGTTCCTTGCAGTAAAAATTTCTAACCTGACATCAGTTTAAGATGACGTAGGTAGTAACAACAATATCCAATTTTTCAGTGGTTTTTATCTTTTTTTTATGTGTTCAAGGAACGGAAACATAAGTGAACAAAATGTAATAAAAATAGATGAATATTTCATTTGTTGTGCTCCCCTTGTTATAGGCAAAACAAAAAGAAAAAGTGAAATACTATTAATAAAACTACAAATAAAACACTTTATGTGGTGTGAATGAAAGGTGTGAGACACTTGTCATCCCACATTACATATGCCAAAACTATAGAAATCACCATTATTTACATACAAGAAGTGTAGTACTGGATGGAGGCAAATTTCACAACCTTGTGCTATACACCATAAAAAATGCTAAAAAAACTTTACTTATACCTTTAAAAAAAACATTAAAGCTTTATTATCACTGAAACATGAATTATGTTCACCAAAACTGGCATTTAGCCTGTACATGTTGTTACATATTCACATAGTTCTGAAACTGCCACATCTGCATGTCTGTCTCCTTACATTCTGTCAAGTAAACATCCATATCTGCCTTACTACCAGTAACATCCAAGCACTTACCTGTTTCTTTATGAATAATTGCCCCATCCTGGAATTTGTAGCAAAAAACAGCAATTAGACTGTAACTGTAAAATTACTCTAAACAAAAGAGAAATGCATAATAATTAACAACAAACATTTATTACAAGCTTTAAGTTTCTTATTGACATTTTGAATTAATGTTTCTAAATGAAAATATCTTAATAATAAAAGAATTAATCTAATTTTTACTCTGTAAATTAAATTATTTAGACGTAACTAATCCTTTATCATTTTATAATATAGACAATACATGATGGGCCTAATTCTGAAGTCTTTCATATAAAATAGACAATTGATGACAGAACTAACATTTGAAATTCTAAAGAAAACTTAATCCATAAATATTTAAATTGGAAATTAAAGCAGTCAAAACTGCACTAATCCTAAGTATTTCTGAATAAACAACATATTCCATAACAGAAGTATTCTTTAATATTTCTGTACAAACTAAACATTGCACAGTGAAGCTGATTCTGAATATTTCCACATAAACTAAATACCCTACACTAGAAGTAATCAGGAATATTTCCATAAACTATTATTAGTGCACTAACAACTAAGCTGTACATTCAACCCATTGATAAAAGAACTTTGTCCAACATTGTACTTTCAAATCGCTTTAAAACCTCAATTAAAGACAAAAATTAATGTGTTTCCATTTATAAGATAATTTGTTTATCAGCAGACTGAGACTAAAGTCTAATTATGCTAGGTCACTTGTGAATTTATTACTTATATTGTAATGTAGAATTATTGGCCTAACATCTAAACTGTTAATATTGGAGCTAATCCATACTATTTTAATACATCGAATAATTCGCAACAAAAGTAATTTTATGCAATTTAGTATAAACTAGTATTCCACTAATTTTGAAATTATGAGTAAAGTAGTTACAAATGTACAGGATGTTGATATTAATAAAAGTCCCAAGTACTTAAAAAATAACTTAAAATCCACATTCTTCAACCATTTTTTAAAGAAATCTTACTTTTGTATGATGCCATTCCTGACCTTCACCTCTACCATGACACTTCACCATCATGACTTTCTGTTTTTGAGATGTAAAAGATGTCACATCTGCACAGTTTTTCTCATCTCTAAGTTCATTGTTCGCAGAGAGTGAAAACAGCTACATGCCAAATTAGATAAAAACTATATTGTGAAATAAATATTTTAGAAAGGCATATATTAAACAGTATTTGATTAATGTTTTGCTATTTGAAACTTATTCTAAAAGTAAAAAACTGACGAAAAGAATCATTATTTACTACACTTACATAATTACTTACTAGATGATGCGCAGCTGACCAAGCTTCATATTGTTTGAGGTTTCTTCCTAAGCTATGTACTTGTACATTCTATCTCAACACCTTTAATGCATATGTACATGTATGGTGGTCAGCTATAAACTTTTAATTATTTCATTGTATACCGTATTAAATAGAATTGTAGCATTATTTTATAAATAAATTTTTCTTATTTTATATTATTTAGCAGTGTAGTATTATTTTACAAGTAAAACTTCCTTAATCTATATTAAATATAAAAAGTTTGACAGCATCAGACATCCTGAATAAAATCCTAGGACTATATATTTAACTGTATATACATCTAGAGATGTGATTAACCTTGTAATATTTTCAGGTAAATCTGGTTTCCCCCAGGAAATATTGTGAAGTAATTCTGAATTTCTTTTAAACTAACTAAATTTGTACAAAGAAAGAGATTGTACACAAATGTAAACACAAAATGAAATTAATCTTTATTTCGAACACAAAACAACAGCATGTGTATTGTTTAAGCACAAAGAGCAATCACCTTCACTGGAAAAAGATTTCTAAGCTGTCTCTTCTCTCTAAGCTTGTTCCAGACAATTTTATGTGTATATCCAGCCTGGGAAAACATTATGTTATATACTTAAAACTACACATTACACTTTCCCAGAGCAACTAGCACTACCCACGTGCATTCGCATTCAAAAATAAGGGACATTGTAATTTTGAAATATCAACTGACCTACCAATGGAGAATACT